CCCCGGCCCTTTCAGCCACCCCCCCTCCCTGCTAGGAACACCAGGAGAGGGCGGGGCCGTGACGTCTCGTGTTCCAGCTCCCGTTCCGCCCCTCACAGACTTCTACAGCATCTGGAGGGAGCAGGGCTCACTGACAGATATTTGGCTGGAGAAAACTTTGCGCAGGGGTTACGCACTGCAATTTTTCCAAAAGCCACCACCATTCCGAGGCGTACGGGCAGTACGCTCTCAGGTACGGGGATCGATAGAGGCACTACAAGCGGAGGTCTCCTCTCTGCTGAGTCGAGGCGCAGCAGTGGAGGTAGACCCGCAGGACGCCACCAGGGGGCTGTACTCCCCTTACTTCTTAGTGCCAAAGAAGTCAGGCGGGGTGCGTCCCATTCTGGATCTGCGCGTGTTAAACGAGTGCATTTCCAAACGGCAGTTTCGGATGCTGTCCACAAGGCAGCTCCTCGAGTGTGTCAGGGAGGGAGACTGGATGACATCCATAGACCTGACAGATGCGTACTTCCACGTGCCCATAGTGCCAGAACACAGGAGGTTTCTGCGCTTCGCAGTGGGAGAGAGGAATTACGAGTACTGCCGTCTACCCTTCGGGTACGCACTCGCGCCTCGGACTTTTTCCAAATGTGTGGAAGCAGCTCTGGAGCCGCTCAGACGCGCGGGGGTAAGAATATTAACCTATATAGACGACTGGTTAATTCTGGCCTCATCCAGAGAAGTGGCCGTGAGCCACACGCACTGGGTCCTGTCCCACATACAGCGTCTGGGCTTTGTGGTGAACAGGGAGAAGAGCAAGCTGCAGCCAGCCCAACGCATGATTTATCTCGGCCTGCAGCTAGACTCTGTGACATTCCGTGCTGCATTGTCCGTGGACAGACAGATGAATATTACCCGTCTGGCCCGGGAGGTTCTGGCGGGCCCCAGAGTCCCCGCTCGGCGCCTCAGGTCCCTGCTGGGAATGATGGCGGCGGCTCATGCTGTGGTGCGGTTAGGCCTGCTCCACATGAGAAATTTTCAGAGGTGGTTCTTGCGCCTCAGGCTTCACCCCTCCCGGGACGGGGGGAGGCTGATCTGGGTTCCCCAAGTGGCAGCTTCGGACATCAGGTTCTGGCTCACTCCGGGTCTATTGCGGGACGGAGTGACTCTAGCCTGCGCCGTGTCTCACGTGGAGGTGTTCACGGACGCGTCGCTCGAAGGATGGGGCGGGGTCCTCGGCCAGAGCTCTGTAGGAGGCTGCTGGTCGGACTCAACCCGTCACATCAACCTGCTGGAGATGGAGGCAGTACACAGAGTACTGCTGCACTTTGCTCCTCAGCTGCAGGGGAGACACGTGATGGTTCGCTCAGACAACACCACAGTGGTCTCCTATCTGAACAGGCAGGGGGGCACCAGGTCCCCCGCTCTCCATCGCATGGCGACAGTGACGCTGCTGTGGGCGGCGCTTCACCTCCTGTCTCTCAGGGCGCGCCACGTCCCGGGGGTCCGGAACGTGGGGGCCGACAGGATGTCCAGGGGGGGCCCGCTCCAAGACGAGTGGGGCCTGGCCCCGCGGGTAGCTGCGGAGATCTGGCGGAGGTTCGGCCATCCAGTGGTCGACCTTTTCGCCAGTGCAGAGAACGCACAGTGCCCGTCCTGGTTCGCCTTAAGGGCCGCGGACGAGCCGCCCTTAGGCGTGGACGCTCTGGCTTTACCCCTGGCCAGGCGGCCTGCTGTACGCTTTCCCACCGGTGCGTCTCCTGCCGGTCCTGCTGCGGAGGATCGAACAGGAGAGGAGGTCGGTGATCCTGGTGGCTCCGGACAGTCCGCATGCCCGGTGGTTCCCCTTCCTGAGGGGCATGGCGGTGATGGAGCCCTGGGCCCTCCCGGACGAGCCCGGGGCTCTAGTCCAGGGGGGAGGAGCCCTGTTTTCACGCCCGATAATCGGCCGCAGGCTTTGGATTTGGAGGCTGAGAGGCGGAACCTCGTAGGCCTGGGTCTTCCCCCTGCGGTGGTGGAGACCATTCAGGGGGCGAGGGCGCCGTCCACTGTGAGGGCCAACGCCACGAGGTGGAGGCTCTTCAGCGACTGGTGCGGTTCCCGTTCCTGGGATCCCAGGCGTTGCCCGCTGGAGGGGGTCCTGGGATTCCTACAGGAGCTCTTTGACAAGGGGAGGGCTGTCGCCACCTTGGCGGTGTTCGCGGCAGCCATTACTTCGGGTCACGACGGATTCGGGGGGTTCACAGCCCGCTCTCATCTGTTGGTTAAACGTTTTTCTGCGGGGGGCGCGCAGGAGGAGGCCCCCGCTCCAGAGAACGCCCCCGGTTTGGGACCTCAGGGTGGTCCTTAGGGGGCTGTCGGGTCCGCCTTTTGAACCGGCGGCGGAGGCGAGTCCCAGGTGTGTCGCTTTTAAGACGGCCCTCTTGTTGGCGTTGGCGTCTGCTAAGACCATGTCCATGCGTCTTGCCTGTCCTTTGGAGAGGGCGATGGCATGGTGGAATTGTGGCCCAATCCGGCTTTTCTCCCCAAGGTCATCACGTCGGCCTTTAGGTCGAGAGTCATCAGGATTAGGGCTTTCTATCCGCCACCGCATGCCTCCCCCGAGGAGGAGCGGCGGCACCTTCTGTGTCCTGTCAGAATGCTGAGGCATTACCTGGCCATGACGTCGTCATTCAGGTTGGGTGGTCAGCTGTTTGTGTGTCTGGGCCCCAAGAACAGGGGCGCCCCGCTGTCGGCTCAGCGGCTGGCGCACTGGGTCGCCACGGCTGTGCGGCGGGCGTATCAGACGCAGGGTCTGGCCCCCCGGTGGACTTCAGGTCGCATTCCACGCGTGGGATGGCGGCCTCTACGGCCCTTCTCAGGGGGGCGTCGGTCGAGGACGTCTGCCGTGCGGCTTCTTGGGCGTCGTCCTCCTCTTTCGTCCGGTCTTATCTTTGGATGTGTCGGACCGGTCGGTGGCCCATTCCGTGCTGAGTGCAGCGGACTGAGTTAGACCGTTATGTCCCTCCTCTGAGGGGGCCTTCGGTTTACTTTCCGCCCTGCTTCAGGAGCTCTTGGGAGAGGCATCCTACAGGTGCGGTACATATATGTGTGTTTGGTCGGTCAGGTAGTCCACGTCAGGAGCTCTTGGGAGAGGCGTCCTGTGACTACGGATGACCTACGGTCTGTGTTACGTGGGGGTATCCTTGGTTGGAGTGGCCCTGTAACACGCATTGTTTCTTCTGCCCTGAGTCCTCTCACTGTGTGAGGGTCTTGCTCGGGCGGAGCTCCAATCACCCTTCGCTGGCCTGCTGGGAGTACATGTTCCTACGGCCTCCGCGTTGTGTCCCACTAGCGAAGTCCTAAGGGACGTAGCACCATGACGTAGAATTACTAGTTACCTAATGTAACTTAAGTTCTACGAATAGGTGCGTAGTCCCTTAGCTACGAGCCCATCAGGCCAGCCCGGCTTGGCAGAGTTCAAGAGGGGGTGCGGCCTTGTGCAGGGGCATTTATAGAGGATGGTGGCTGGTGATTGGAGCAAATTATTTTGATCTCTCTGGCGTGTGACCTGGGGGTCACGAGTGATATCCCACTAGCGAAGTCCTAAGGGACTACGCACCTATTCGTAGAACTTAAGTTACATTAGGTAACTATTAAATACAGTACATGTATGTATGTGTGTATATGTCTGTGTGTGTGTATATGTATGTGTGTGTGTGCAATACATGTATGTATGTGTGTGTAAACATAAGCTCAAATGTAATTCTGACTCGCACCAGTGTGCAACTAGCAGGCGGTAAGAGAGGGGAGAGATGATGCGTGTGGATGTTACGTGTCAATGGAGGGGGGGGGGGAAATGTGTGTGTGTGTGTGTGTGTGTGTGTGTGCGTGTACATGTGTGCGTGCATATGTGGCGCGTACGGCGTGAGAGTCGGCCCAGAGTTTACTGATACATTGGCGCACACAGCTAGATAGGGACCCGCTCGTCACATCGTGCAAATAGGGCTTAAAATAGCGTTATGAAGAGACCTCCCCTCTCCCCCTTTTCTCTTTTTTAACCGACAGCTTTGACCGGTTAACGCTGTGACGGTCAACCACCGGTTAAACGGTCACCGTTTTACATCCCTAATTCAGACACGCTGCTCTAGTGAACAACTAGCTCGGCTGACCACCACTTTGTGTTACGCATATGTAATGAGGCGGACGTGACGTCAATTGCAAGCCAGCAATTGAATTCCATCTGACCAATCAGAGAGCGCGGGAGGCGGGTGTTGTAGTTAGATGTGGGTGACGTCAAGAGTTTGCACCGAATGGGCAGGTAGTAGTTTGGCAAAGGCAAAGAATGCGATAGTAAAGTAATCCGGTCTGGTTCTATCAAGAAAATGAAGCCGGAGCAAGAGGAATGTTTAGCAAATATAATTACTGTAATGGGCTCCGTTAGCGGCAAAGGAGATGGCAAGGCTAAATGCTAACGACTCACATACGTCACGGTAAACTCAGATCCAATCGTTTCAATCTGCAAAAGGAGTTAACCCCTCCCACCTGTAGCAAATCCAGACATTAGTAGAAATGTAATTTGTACTATGGTGTGGTACGACCAGGCTACCAGTTTCCAAGAGGATTGGTCTTATTGTAAACATGGTTAAAAACATTTATTGAGTGCTCTTTGTTTTACTATTGTCTCTAATGTGCGTTGCAACACTGATATTTCCAAGGTTTTTTGAGGCTTGAGCTGATTTGAGCCAGAAACTCCTGATCCTAGCATGCATTGTGTTTTTGAGAGAAATGTTTTGGTGCGATGTGATTTTTGTCCTGGCTGCGGAACACTGGACCATCTTCATTAGGTACTTGGGATGGGTGGATGATGTTGTAACATGGTTAAAAGCTCAATTCAATTCAATGTATTTTTGTATAGCCCCAAATCACAACAGTAAATCTCTCTGAGCACTTTGCAAAGCTGTCCATTTACCAACACAGATCACAGATTAAAAACATGGTTAATAAAAAAGCTAATTTGCTTGAAGTTGCAAAAGTCTTACCGTCGCACAGGAAGGCCCCAAGCCCCCAGATGAAGTCGCTGCAGCTGTGGCAGAAGGTGGGCTTGGTCAGGGTCACCTTCCTGAAGCAGTGGCCGGTGTTCGGGCTCTGGAGCCGGGACCGTTGTGTGGGGGACTGCTGCTGCTGCTGCTGCTGCTGCTGCTGCTGCTGGCCTCGCCTCCTCCCTCCCACCTGGGGGCTCATGCTTCGCTCTGCCATGCCCCCCCAGAGCCAGGACAAGACGCTCCCTCAGCTGGACACACAAAAACCCAGTCAATTCATTTTATTTTTTGTATAGACCAAAATCACAACAGCAGCTATCCTGGAAGACTTTACAAAGTTGTTGAGAATCAAACAGTTCAAAGTAACACAGGAAATGCAAAAAATAAAAACACATATAGCCAATGATCCGCAGGGGGCAGAGACCAATGTCCATAAATGTTAATAAAGTCCATAAATGTAGAGTGTCCTGGTTCATCACCACTGTCCTTAGACCCTCCTGCATCTGCAAGAAACAATTCTAAAGACCCAGTGGGAGAAAACTTAGAAATCTTGGGGAGGCCCACATTGAGGGAGGGATGCACTCCCACGGACGGGCTATAAATCCAGGACTCAGGCAGTAGAACGAGGACTGAGGCTATAGTGCATATAAGATATAGTCCCTGTAGTAATAATATAATATTAAGTAATAATAAAATGCCAAACCCAATTTCTAAACCAAAATTAGAATTGTTATTTATGGGTTTCAAGGATTATTTTAAATCCATTGAAGTAGAGAGGCACGTTCCAGCTCTGTATACATTACTGTAATGCAACCAATATCAGAGTAAAGAGTGAAAATATACACAAATGTTTTGTTAAAATTAATTATTTGTCTTAATATTGTGTATCTGTATCGAGAATTGGAGGTTAATGTTAATAATACATTTGTGACGATTTTATATGGATTTTAAAATTAGTGATGAATCTGAGCAACAATTTTTGTTCCCATTAAAAAAAAAAAAAAAACTGGTATGCTAAAACAATATTTTTCTAATAGCCAAACTTAAAAGTATATAAGAGGAATTTCTACTTCCGTGTGGATCATCAAGACTATTGGTCCTACTAATTTTCAATCATTCTGGTGATACGTGGTCGTCAAACAAGACCAGAGAGTTTTTTCAAAAAGTGGAGAGGGCGGTTCTTTCCTAAACATTTTTGAAAATCCTCCTTTATAACTTTACTGCATTATATTTAACACTGAAAGGTGAGTGAGGGAAGTAAACACTTTTGCTGCCTGTTCCTGACTTAAATCCCTAAAAAAGCCACATGAAATTATACGTGTCTTTGAATCTTAATTCAGGTGTTGATAATTGTGATCTACTGTATTAACATTGAGATGGCAATTTTTAAATATTTCAATATTTGGCACAGCTACTATCAACTGTCCATCCATCCATCCATTTTCTACCCTTTAATCCATTTCTGGGTCAGGGGGGTGGCAGTCAGAGATGCCACCCAAGTCTCATAGCACCAGCCCCTCACTGACCCTCTGCAGCTGGTGAGTCCACAGGAGGACGGCTGCTCTCTGCCTTGATCTTTCAAAGTGGGGTTAAGTGTCTTGCCCAAGGACACAACGACAGCAGTCATCAGTGGGAGTCGGTGTAGAAGGTGTAGAGGTAGGAATTGAACCCACAATCTTCAGGCCTGAAGACCAATGCTCTACCAACTGAGCTACTTCACTCGGTTTTAGGTCTGCTCTGGACTTTGACTTTGGGTTATAGCACATGAAGATGATTTTTAAGCCATTGATTCCATTGTAGTTTATATCTTTAGGGTAATTTTCCTGATGGAAGGTAACTTTCTGCCTCAGCCTCAAGTCTGTGTATTTCTGTTTATTTTGTATGCTGTTTTTCTTTTGTGAAAAAGCAACAGTTAGGTTTTATGTCTCACATAATTCTATAATGACTACAGAAATAAATGAACAATATTTTCAATGAAACAACCCAATGTGTAACAAAAAGTCCTCTCTTTTACCTTGTTTCTACCAGCCCTACTTGGCCTCACTCTACCCTGTTTGGGAGTGTTTCCTGAGGCCTGTTTAACCGGTACCAGGTACTTTTAGGTATCTGCTTGGCCCTGGTTCTTTCCAGGCTGAGCTGGTACTAGAGTGTTCTAACAGCCAGTGATTGGCCAGAGTGTTGATGGAAGCCACGGTTATGAAGGAATCTCCCCGGATACTGGTTTGTTAGAGCCACCAGGTAGAATAGAGCCAAATAGAGAAGAGTAGAGTAGAGTAGAGTAGAGTAGAGTAGAGTAGAGTAGAGTAGAGTAGAGTAGAGTAGAGTAGAGTCAAGGAGGGTGGATGGAAACAGAGCTTATGTTCTGTAGGGGCATCACATGAGCTTAGTTTTACCAATTAATCGATCATCAAAATAATGTTTAATTACAGCCACAGAACAGCACTGAGTTGTTTACTTGACAATATAACAGTGTAATACCATGTGTCATACAGTAAGACAGTGTTATTACAGGTTTTATGAAGGTAAACAACGTTACAGTTACTTCACATTGATGGCTACCGTAGGCCTACTCACCTCTGGTTTATCAGAATAACATCAGACAGTTCCAGGCATGACAGCGCGAAGTCTCAGCAGCGAAGCCCAGGAAAGCAGAACTATCACCGGCGTCAGAGCGAGAGGAATCCCAGGACAGATCCACCGTATCCTGGGTAACTACACGCTCATCAGCCCGTCATAAAGTATTCCGCTGGTGGACTAAAGCCTGAGAAAAGCGAGGCGACTGAGAGACACAAAGCCAGTGTTGAGACAGAATTCACAGTCCAGTCATGTCGACCCAGCGGAGGCACAGCGGCTTTACCCAGACCACAGCGCTCGTGGCCCGGCTTATTTACTACCGCGCCCCGCTCCAAACATTAGGTAAACATTTCAAGTAGGGCACATGGACGAATGTAACCCGTACGAGCCTCAACCTCCTGGAGCCTGGCAGTGGCACAATCCCCGGACACCTCCGGAGCTGCCGCCGCTCTCCGGTCCTCCCCGAGCAGACGGAGAGAGACACGCCGAGATCAGAGCAGGTTTCCCGGGGAGGTGAAATCCTGCTGCGGCCTCTGCTCTCGGCTTCACTGTCAGGTCGATGAGGAGCTATTGATCTGTTCACGGTTGGATGTCTGGCCCGGAGGAAGATGCGAGCTCTGTGCCAATCACAGCCGTCTCTCACAGACCCTCACACATGGATATTATTCGCCGGAACAACAGCTTTACATCCGCGAAGAGGAGGAGCTCAGCCCCGGGCCGCGGGCTGTGGAGGAGGAGACCGCAGCAACAAGTGTCCTCCCGCGAACAGAGGGGGCAGAAGGGGCAGGAATGGGACTGTCACTGAGCAGAAAGTGATGTGATCATCAGTGACCAGTGCCCAGTGCTCTTCACACTCTCCATGTGTTACAGACATGACGTATTCTCCCATCTTTAGAGTTATAGAACCCCCTAGAGGCTGACACGGGCACTGCAGGGTCATGAACACTTCAATCAATCAATCAATCAAACTGTGAAGCACTTTTTATAAAGTAAAAAGTAATCCCAAAATTTCACTGACCCGTCAACTCAACAGACAACAATACATTTCATTTTCATGTACACTACAGTCTATAGCACACCCATGCACACGCCCACACATACACGCAAATACACATCAAATAGGATGGAATAAGTAAAAACTTAATATGAGGCAGAGATGGCGATGATGGGATACGACAGAGGGCCCAGAGGAGAGATCTAGCGGAGGCTCCAGACCTCCACCAGTTCCAAGAGCCAGACTCCCACAGCCTGTGCAAAGGGGAGAATAAAATGTAAGATATTGAAATGACATTAAAAGGATGATAGCACAAAAAAGTAACAAGTATCAAAATAACAAGTAACCTACAAGAGTGAAAGCGAAGCGGTTCAAATCCCGGGTCGGATTTTGCATGTTCTCCCTGTGTCTGCGTAGGTTTCCTCCGGGTGCTCCGGTTTCCCCTACCACAAAAAACATGCACAATAGGTATGAATGTGAATGAGAGAGTGAATGGATGGTGTTGATTGGAGCTGATGGTCCAGTGTGTTCGGCGACTCGCTTTCGTCATCACCGTGTGTGGAATGATTGGAACAATATCTGAACTCTGAACATTGTGAAGCGCTTTGGGTGACCCTGGTCTGTAAAATGCGCTATATAAATAAACATTACTTACTTACTTAAAATCATTTTTAAAAACATAAAACTAACCACAGCTCTTAGGCCCTCATAGAACATCTGTAATTATACTGACAGTAGATATAGTAGACATAGTTTAACTAAGAGCTGTGGTCGTATATCAGACTGATTAATTATTCAGAAATGGAAAAGAGAATAGCACAGCTGCAAATCTACCAAGACGAATCTGTTTTCCAAAACTTGCAGCTCCAACAATAACAACACTGATCACAGATGCAGAACATGTGGCCATGGTCTGGAAGGCTGTTTAAACAAAGGGAGCACTCAAAGGTTAGGATTTGTGTAAATATTCTTACCATTATAAGATCAATTGTCTATTTTAAAAATGTGCAAGAAAGAGGAGGCTTAGCTGCCATTTTTAGAGACCACTTTGTCTCCCATAGAATGTCTCTTGGGAAGTTTTCGTCATTTGAATATGTGTCTTTTAAAATACAACAAAAACAATCTCCTCCAACACTCTTCATTGTCCTTTACAAGCCACCGCAGTCATGTCACAGTTTTATTGATGTTGATGACAGAAATGCAAAAGAGCTGAGTTCTGTACTTGAATCCTTTGATCTCACTCAGCACGTAAGTGGCCCCACCCACAGCAGAGGGCACACTCTGTTTTCTTTTGTTTTTAGGGGCATGAACATTAAGACTTCAACATGCTCCTATTCTGACATGTGAACTGTAGTTTGATCATTTGTAATATTGTTTGGACATTTTGTTAAACACATGTAAGAAAGAATAAACTATCTATCTAAACTATCTACATTCAAAATGCAGCAGCTCGAGTCCTGACTAGAACCAGGAAGTACGACCATATTAGTCCAGTCCTCAGGTCTCTGCACTGGCTTCCTGTGGCTCAGAGAATAGACTTTAAAACAGTTCTGCTTGTGTACAAGTCTCTCCATGGCCTCGAACCAAAATATATTAGTGACATGTTAGTCCCATATGAACCAGCCCGGACTCTGAGGAGCACAGGGACTGGACTCCTGTTAGTGCCCAGAGTCAGAACTAAACATGGGGAGGCTGCTTTTCAGATTCATGCTGCTAAAACCTGGAACAGTCTTCCGGAAGATGTGAGACAGGCCTCCTCTCTGACAATGTTTAAAACCAGGTTAAAAACGGTTCTGTTTAGCTGTGCATACAACTGAGGGATTTTATATTTTTAGCTTTCTTTTTAATGTTCTTTGATTATTTATGATTTTAATGCGTTCTTGTTTTGTTCAGCACTTTTAGTTGCCTTGTGTATGAATTGTGCTATACAAATAAACTTGCCTTGCCTTGCCTATTCCAAGTATTATTCTTGCCTATTCCTGTTTTTCTGATGTTGTTTCTGTGAGCACTGGTTCTCCTCAGGGATGTATTTTGAGTCCTTTGCTTTTTACTTTGTACACTCACGATTGTGTGTCCTCCTCTGACTCAAACTTGATCATTAAATATGCTGATGACACCACCATCCTCTTATAGAGCAGAGATACAAAATGTGGTTCAGTGGAGTAAAACTAACAACCTCCAGTTGAACGCATCCAAAACATGTGAACTGGTCTACGACTTCAGTCGCAATAGTTCTCATTTGCCTGTCGTAATCGACAACTCCCAGGTGCAGATCGTAGAGGAGTGCAAGTTTCTGGGTTTAACTCTGTCTAACCTGAAATGGGTTAAAAACACTGACCGAGTCGTTAAGAAAGCTCGTCAGCGTCTCTACTTTCTGCGTAAACTTAGAGAATTTACCACTAACTCTAAGATTCTGCTTAACTTTTATCGCTGCACCATTGAGAGTTTACTTGTTGGTTCTGTGTCTGTGTGGTTTGGAAACATCACAGATAAAGAAAAGAGAGCTTTAAACAAGGTGCTCCGCTCTGCAAAGAGGACCGTGGGCTGTGAGCTTCCTGTTCTGGAGGTTCTTTATAAATCCAGACTTTTAAACAAAGCTCTTAGGATTGTTAATGACTCTTCTGGCCACCCTGGGAAAGCCATGTTCCAGCTTCTTCCCTCTGGCAGAAGATATCGCTCTCTGAGATGCAGGACATCTCGTTACGCTAACAGTTTTTATCCACAAGCTGTTATCAGTGTGAACAGAGCACTTTAATGATTTGCACTTGTTTTGAAACTGTTTTAGTCGATCGATTTCACAGTGACATTTGTTTACTGTTTTATTTGTTTTATTTTTGTCTTTTAATGTTGTTTTATGTCTGTATTTGTCTGTGCACACTAGAGACTTTTGCTAATGTATTCCAATGTGTTTTTTTTTTTACTGAATCTGAATCTGAATCTGAAGTATTCAGAATCAGTCCTCTGATTGGACCAACAGAATGCACCAAATACTGTGTGAAGTGCGTAGACTTGGCCATGCACTATTAAAGGACTTTTGAGGGATCGTGTGCCTTGGATTACTTCCTTACTCTACATTTTAATGTATACTGTATTCAGTATTCTGTTTTAGGACGAGTAGTAGCAGTGGTCGTAAAAGTAGTACTAGAAGTGTTTGTAGTGTAGTATTTGTAGTTGGCAACAATGGAAGAAGTAACTTTTTGATATATTCGACTAATATATCCTTTTTTTAAGTTACTAAAACAGTCATATTGTAATACAAATACAATTACTAATAGTATAAATCTATAATACAGTTTTAGAGCCTCTGCACTGGTAGTTGGTCTGCTTCATTCTCTGTCAAGCATATGGTAACTGTATAGTACTGTATGTGCATTCACTCGCCACTAGATGTCAGTGCAGCTTTGAAAACATCTTTTTAAGTGTGTGTGGCATGGTAGAGGACTTTTAACAAAACACAGTTAACTACACTTGGTAGGATTGTGATTATTTTACACATTTTATCCCAGTTTCAGTCGTGTTTTGTGATTAATTATGAGCGATAACATCAGGCTCATAATGTTACCAAACATTCACACAGAACCCTGACAAATTGTACCAAACTAAGAATTCATTCTATTTCTCCACAGTGTGAAGTCATCCCAACATTGCTTGATAAAAAAATAATCTGTTTGAGACTGGGGTGGGGGGTGGGGGGGCTACAGTCTCAGATGGAGGCGTTTACTACTGAATGTGCAATAACTACCTTCATACATTTGAAACATAGAGCTGAGAAAATATGTAGAACCAGGTCCAGTCTCTGCTCCATAGAAACTCTCTGGTCTCTCTCTGGACTTACTCACAAACTACAGACCAATCTCGAACCTCACTTTTATATCTAAAATCCTGGAAAAACTTATAGCTGAGCAGCTCCGCTGCCACCTGCAGGAAAATGATATGTTTGAAGTCTTTCAATCAGGATTCAGAGCTCATCATAGCACTGAAACGGCACTAGTCAAAGTCACAAATGACTTACTACTAGCTGCCTACTGGACCTTAGTGCTGCATTTGACACAATAGACCACAGCATTCTACTGCAGAGGCTAGAATGTGATATAGGTCTTAGAGGAACAGCCCTTGGCTGGTTTAAATCCTATTTATCAGATCGATATCACTTCGTCAATGTGAATCAGGACTCGTCGCCTTATTCTGGAGTGGAATTCGGTGTGCCGCAGGGTTCGGTACTCGGACCGATTCTTTTTACTCTCTACATGCTGCCACTGGGAAACATTATTAAAAAGCATGGAATTAATTTCCACTGCTATGCAGATGACACACAGCTTTATCTGTCGATGAAGCCTAATCAGACAGATCAGCTAGAAAAGCTCAGTGCCTGCATAAAGGACCTTAAAATGTGGATGACTCTTAACTTCCTACTTCTCAACCCGGAGAAGACAGAAGTGATCCTACTCGGTCCGAAGCGCCTGCGTGACTCCCTCACTAACCAGATGGTTACTCTCGATAATGTCAGTATAATACCCAGTAACACTGTGAGGAATCTTGGAGTCATTTTTGACCAAGAACTCTCCTTCAAGGCTTATATAAGCCAAGCAACTAAAACGGCGTACTTCCACTTACGGAACATCGCTAAAATTAGGAATTTCCTTCCTAAAAGTGACGCGGAAAAACTCATTCACGCGTTTGTCACCTCAAGGCTCGACTACTGTAACGCTTTACTGGCAGCGTGCCCTAAAGCCTCTTTGAAGAGCTTCCAGCTCGTTCAGAATACAGCAGCTAGGATCTTAACAGGTACCAAAAGGAGGGAGCACATAACTCCGGTGTTAAA